CAGGCCTCAGGCCTTATGGAGCCCCCGGGGAAGGTTCCACAGCACTCGAGACCTCCTGTGTGAAGAGGGGGAACCAGGGGAGAGGGCCCCAGGACGGTCCGGCCCACGCAGACCCAGAGCCACTTGGAGGCGATGTTTCTGCTGTGAGGCGGGGCCTTGGTGTCCAGGGGCCTGCTTTTGTCGTCTCCCTCAGCGGAGCCCTGGCCCCGCTCCTGGACAGTGCTGACCGTGGCAGACCTTCACACGGCCTAGGTCTCAGCCGTGGGGCCTGGGGGCAGGCAGGCTGTATTTTGTGAGGGAGACCAATGCCGTGTCCTGTGTTCTGGCCCCTGTGTTACCCCTGGACCATTTTGACGTCACAGGTTTACCTGGAGGTCCAGGACTGAGATATGGTGGCTTTGTTGCACTCCTACCTCGGCAGAGTGTGCACCTGACTCGGAAGGAGACAGGTGAACTCTGGGCAAACCATTCCTCCTGGAACCCTGGCCTAGGGCTGGGTCTTGGGCCCTGACACCCAGACTCCCCGAGCTGCCAGCTGTCTCTGCTTTTGGCTGTCACCAACTCTTTGGACTCTGTAGTGCCCTGACCCAGCCCTAGAGGGGCCCCAAAGAAGGTGGGGACAGGCCACAGCCAGCTCTCAAGGGCTTCCAAAGGAACCCTGGGCAGGGCAAACAGTGACCTCTCTCGGCTGCTGTGGAAGGTTGCAGGTTCGAGTCTGCCCAAGGTGCCTTGGAAGGAGGCCTGGTGACAAACTGCTGAGAACGCAGCCACTGAAAACCCCGTGGGGTCCACTCTGCTCCGACACCCGTGGGTCGGAGTTGACAGGAAGGCGGCTGGGTTACCTTCTGAACAAGGGTCAGCCGTGGGATTAGGCAGATGGCTACTGTTCATGGAAATGAAAGAGAGGAGTTACAGCACACAGTCAGGACAATATTTAAATGAAAGAGCCACGTGTTCTGATGTGGGCTCTCCCATAATCCTTAGCCTTCACCCTGAGTGAGCGACTTGTGAGACAGTCCCCCAATAGTTCCCATTGAACAACAGAATCTTTTCCTCAACTCTGCGAGGAACTGTGTCCTCACTGTGAGGACAGCCTTGTCCGTAACGGAGGGAGGGAGCACGTAGCTCCGAGTTCCTGTGTGCGGGGCACGCGTGCTTCCCTCCCCTGAGCACGCCGCCGGGGAGGGGCGTCAGATGGTGACAGGAGCAGGGACGCTTGTGCCCTGCGAGTCACGAGCTAGAAGGTGACTCTGAGGGATGTACTTCCGAGGTGACTCTGGGAAGACCAAGGACGGCAGCCCCATCTCCAGCCGTTACCTCGTCGTTTCCCAGCAAGGCCCGGGCCCACCCACCCGCAGTGCTGCCCACTGGCTCCTGACCTCACACTCCCGCTCCCTGACAGAGGGGGCTGCAGTGATGAGACACTGTCCTGCTCTGGGACTGCTCAGGACGGGGGCCGCCATGGTGATTTCAAAGTCCACTTCAGCTGCTGACAATCCCATGGGGCCAGCTCTACTCTGCTCAGCTGTGGGTTATGGGAGCTCTACTTTACTGGCAGTTAAGTCACAGCCTGTGTGCCAAGCATTCCCTTTGCTCACGGGCAGACGCGCGTCACAACACGTGTGCATGCTGGACCTTGGTTCTAGGCAAACGCGGAGGTTCTGTGCAGACTGCACAGTCAGTGCAGCCGGCCTCCAAGAAGGAGTGAACGTTCTTAGTTCAGTGCAGATGAGAGAGGACGGGACCTGGGATCTAGCTCCTGACTGACCCTCAGTGACAAGGTCTTAGCTCACTGTGTAGGCAGCCTTGTGTACCCAAGCTGGCTGGTCCTGTCAGGCTCCACCTTGTCCCAGTGGGGTTTAACCCATCTCACTGGGCAGTGGGCTCCACCTCGTCCTGGTGGAAACAGCCCACGTCACTGCGCAGGGGTGGTGGGTGAGATGAGCAGGCACCCCCATGGGGACGACTGCTGAGGCTAGTGTGTCGCAGAGCTGACATTTCTAACTGCCTGGGTGGCGGTTCAAACCCACCAGCCACTCCTCGGAAGGAAGGTTGGGCAATCTACTTCTGTAGTGATACCGCCTCAGAAACCCAAGGAGGGGTCGCTATGAGTTGGAAGTGACTGGACAGCAGTGAGTTTGTTTTTTGTTTTTTGGGTGTCTTTGAGCCTTAAAAGAGCCTGAGGGCCTAAACATGAGTTCACCTGCTCTTGCCAGGTATGTCCCACCCAGCGGAAAAGGATCCCCATGTACCCTGCCTCATCCCCTATCAGCTGGACCGGCTGCACCCGGCCAGTGTATCAGCTAACAGGCGTCCCCTCCTTGCCAGCCCGTGTGATTATCCAAATAAGCTCATCACATCCTCCTGTGGGAACCAAGGGCACCCCTCCCTCTTGTTACTACAAAGTCTGCCCCCCACAGTCCCCAAGTGTCCCCCTGTGGTCCTATGAGGTGTCTTCCTACCCCATCTGTGAGTACATGTGAGTAGTGGAATGCAGCCAGTCCAGATCCAGTGTTGGATGCTTGTGTGTTTGGACATCTCGTGCATGGACCCTTCCTTCACCAGCAGGGTGAGCACGAGGTGGTCGGTCAATTTAACTAAAAATACCACCCATTACATCTCTCCTTGCCAAGTGGATGGCTCCTAGTTTGTCTATGTGTCCGCTCTACCCAGGGTACATACAAAACAACCTGAAATGCAAACACTATTGTTTTGGACGGACTTTAATTTTTCGTAACTTAGAATATTAGCAAAATGTACTATAAGTAACATTTCAGATCGTCACTGCCAACAATGTGTGCATCTTCCTAGAACTCTGATGCCAGTGTCTTAGATAAATTCTTGGGAAACGTGTTCTGACTTGTCACCTACAAATAACCAAACAGTTAATCAAGGAAAGGAAATGATCATTTTCTATGGGTTTGCTGAAGTAGCTGAAATAGTTCACTAAACCCGGAGAACAGTGGTGAAAATGGGGTGAGGGGGCAGGAAGAGGCAGTCTAACGCAGAGGGAGGATAGGTGTGGTGTCCTGACGGCCGGGTGAGTCTCACCCACCAGAGAGAGACCGTGATGTGGGATCGCAAGTCACAGGCTTGCCTCCTACCCAGCTCCAGCCATCCCTGCACAACCTGGGCATCAACACTGGCCGTACCGGCCTTGGAGAGTTATCCCGGGGATCAGGCTGTGAAATTCCTGTACTATCAGCCAAATCCCATGCAGGCACCTTCTCAGGGACAGGGAAGTGGACACGCCTACCCTACCTGGAAGGCAGGACTGGACGGCTTGAGAGCCCTGGCCCAGGTTGTTTTCCCATCTGCACTTGCTGGGAGATGACCATGAGAGACGGCCCACTGCCGTGGCCACGGTGGGCGAGGAACAGGCCCTGCCCCCACTTACTTCTCTGGCTTCAGGTCCCTGTAGATGATCCCCAGGCCGTGCAGGTGGTCCAAGGCCAAGGCGAGCTCTGCCAGGTAGAACTTGACATCCTCCTCAGTGAACATCACCTGGTCCAAAGGAGGAGAGCACACCTGGTCACCTGCTTAGTGGCAGACAACCCGGCTGAGTCCCAGAGATACACACGCGTGTCTGTCCCGCTCGGGTGTCCCTGACTCCCATGAACATGGCTTTCGGGGCTCTCAGGAGGTCTCTGAGAAGCGAAAGAAGAAAGCTCCAATACAAAGGGTTCACCTCACCTTGGGGGGGAAGCTAGCGGAAACAGTCCTCTGTCTCCCTCACAAACCACAGAGCTGTGCAATGTATTTCTGGGTTGACATTTTCACATGAGCACTTCTGATGCAAATCCTGCCATTTTAACACAAAGAACAGAGCTGCAGAGAGCAAAGGCTTGAGGGGCAGCATCTGAAAACTCCATCTGGAGTCTCGCTCCTTCTTGGACTTGACTTTGGATTAGTGCAAACCTCGGGGGACCTGAGGGCTACCCAAAGTGGGGCCGCCTTTACCAGATACAACACCTCTGGCAGTGGGCAGCCGAGAGTACGTGCACCAGGCAGTGGTGTGTGTGTGCACCGGGCAGTGGTGTGCCCCGGGACAAGGGAGACGGGGTGCAGACAAGGACAGGGCACCGTGGTGGGCCTCACCCAGTTTCTCATGTCTCTGCAAGCCCAGAGACCAGCATGGCAGGTTCAGGGTGACCTGGCACTGGGACAGCCGTGAGAGGGGGGCATGCTATCTGGGCGGACACCACGGTGCCCAGCAGCCTTCGAAGTCATGACCTCATGATGTCTAACTGGAATGCCCTTAGAAGCGAGGGTGGTGACTTCCGCTCACGGACTCTGGACACGTCATCAGGGAAGACCAATCACTAGAGAAGGACGTCACTTCAGGTAGAGGGGCAGCGAACATGAGGAGACCCTCAGTGCGATGGACTGACACCACCGCCACCAGATGGGCTCTGAGAACCCGACACGCCGGGGAGCGTGAAGACGGTGCAGCGGCGGCCACGTTTCACTGGGAGGCACCACGAGCCACAGCTGACTTGACGGCACGTGACGGCAACACATCCCTGATTGCCCAGCTGTCACAACCAGCCTGTATTTTCTGTGGTCACCATAACAGGAAGCCAGGACGCTACTGTATCTCACACCCACCATGAGAAATCACAGAAACCCCAAGTCCACACTGTAACCAAGGTCTCTCTCTGAAGGCAGACATGAGAAGTCAATGTGTAACTGGAGAGATGTCTGGTACACATGGGGCTGGACTGAGGGGGCTCGGGATGGAGTGTTCCATGTCGTCAGGCTAACACAGATCGGGGCAGGCCACCCAGCCTGCTGCCCGGGTCCTGGACATGACAGGTGGGCCCCGCCCACCTGAGTGCCACCTCCTTTGACATCTCAGTCTATCACCTGTGCTAAGCAATGCCTCTCTGGCTGGGTAACTCTTTTCTAAATTGACAAACACCTCCTGTCCAGTTCTGCTGGCCGCCTTCCTGCTGTTTCATTCTTGGTAAAGTGGAGGGTGAGTGAAAAAGGGGAAGGCCCTCAACGAGATGGACTGACAGAGGCTGCAACAATGGGCTCAGGTGTAGCAGGGATTGTGAGGCTGGTGCAGGACCAGGCAGTGTTTTGTTCTGTTGGACACGGGTCACTATGAGTCGGTGCCGACCCGACGGCACCTGACAACACCACCGCCATCTTCCTGCTGACTTCATGTGTCTGTGCTCTGGTCTACCTTGGCTGTGTTCACAGCTTGATGCCCGAGGGCAACCTTATTTGTGCAGTTTTCCAGTTCTTGGGGCACATGTCCACACGGTTCCCGAGTACAGACTCTAGACGGGGTGTTTTGTTCTGTTGGACAGGAGGCTGCTCTGTGTTGGAAGTGAGTCGAGGGCACTGAACAACGAGAAGCTGCTCGATGCGGAGGCGGTTCAGCAGCGGACCCTCGCCTTCGGTGCTGCAGACCCGGGTCTGACTGCTGGCCGGTGCGCCCTGTGAGGAGCCCCCACCCGTCTGTCCGTGGAGGCCCGTGTGTGGCCCGGATGCTGAACAGGTCTCAGGGCAGCTTCCAGACTGAGACGGACTGGGAGGAGGCGGCCTGTGGGTTTGCTTCCGAAAAGCTGCCAGCGAGGACCTTATGGCTCACGGGGTCCCGCCCTCGACAGGGCACCGGGACATTGCAGGACTGGACAGCGTCTTGTCCCATGGTAAGTTGGGGGCCACCTCATGGGCAGCTGAGAACAACAACTGTAACAACATGCTTGGTTAGACCCCTTTGGAAGTGTCAGAAACCTGCCGTGTGTGGTTGCCGACACGCTGCTGCGTGCATCGTTGTCCTGTGGGCAGGAGGACGGAGAGTAAGCAGGATCGCAAAGCCCAGCAACCCCGCTGCACGGGCAGACGCTGCTTCGGCACCCCGCAGGGCAGAGTGCCTCTCAAGTCCAGAAGGCTCTCACGGCACACTGCGAATGTTCTGGAACATCCCTATTGAAGGGTCTGAGAGGCTGAGGGGTCAGCTGGGGGTTGTACAGCTGCTCCTGGTCCTGAAGACCCCAGAGACTGGGGACTGGCTGGGCCGCCCTGTGCACGATTGGCCCATGAGAACCACCTGCCACACCCTGGCGGCCGTGTGAGCAGCTCCCTGGCATGGGCGTGGAAGCTGCCCCTGGCACCGCCACCAGGAAACAGCACGCCTGCCCTCGAACTTGGTGTCGTCTCCACAGGCCCATGGGAGTCGTTTCTCTGTCTGTCTTTCAAGGTCGTCACCTGCTTGTGCAACTTGTGAGCAACTTCTTTAAAACCAACCCAGTAACACACACACTCACACACGCTCCCTCTCAATGGACTCACACATGTACCCACACTCTCAACACACTCATATACATTCACACACATATATACACTCACACACACACACCCGACACTCAACATTCAACACGTTCTCAACACACATTCAACACACACATGCACTGACACAAAATCACACTACACACACTCACATACACTACTAACACACACTCTCAACACTCACACACATGCGTATACTCGACACACACACTGACACTCATACACTCACACTCTCCACACATACATTCACAGATGTACTCACACATAGGCACCCACACATACTCACACTCACCCACACTCTCGCACACTCACACCCATACCCATAGCTTTGTGCAACTCATTCTCAACACACACATACTCTCTCTCACACACACACTCAAAAACAGTCATCTGCACCCACCCAGAGATACTCACACATACACACTCACACATCCATGCATATCCACTTACAGCCACAGTCATCCTCACACATACTCTCACCACACACACACAATTATACTCATATACAGTCTCTCACAGTCACACACATATATATGCTATCAACACATGCTGAATTCACACAAACTCATACATACATTCACATCCACTTAACTCATACACACTCTTAACATTCACATGCATCCATACACACCCACATTCCCACAGTACACTCACCCATATGCACTCACATACAGACACAAATATGCACCACACATGCACCCCCCACTCCTCCTCACCCCCACTCACTCTCACACACACTTCTACTCACATGCACGAACTCCCTACACGCCCTCATATTCACATACACACTCGGTGTCCCCAACGCACTCACACTCCCATCTACTCTTTTCTTGATTTATTTTTATTTGGTGAAAACACGCACACCAAGACATTCAGCAACGTCCCCATTCACAGCCCAGGGACATTGATGACATTTTCCAGGTTGTGACACCATTGTTGCTGTCCTTTTCCAAAATATTCCACCACCATCAGCATGAACTCAATGTCCCGCAAACAAAAGCTTCCCCTTTCTCCCTCTCTCCTACCCCTGGCAACCACTAAAAATCTTTGTTTCCTCTTCTCTCTCTTTATATGTATATATACATAATTAAAAAAAAAAAATCTATCTAGTAATCTTCCCTTCCCTCCCCTGCCCTCCCTGATAACCAACAAAGGAAGCTTCCCTCTGTGTATAAACCTTTCCTTAGCTTTTACAGTAGTGGACTAACACAGCATTGTCCTTGTGTGATTGACTCATTTCCCCCAGCATAGTGTCCTCCAGGTTCTTCCATGTTCTGTGGTGTTTCTCGGATTCCACATTATTCTTTAGGGTTGCATAGTACTCCACCGTGTGTGTGTACCAGTTTGGTTATCCATTCCTTGGTTGATGGGCACTTGGGTTCTTTCCATCTCTTTGCTGTTGTGAGCAGTGCTGCGAGGAACATGGGTGTGCATGTATCTATCCACTCACACTCACTCTCACCCCCCACTTTGTCCTCTGAATTCTAGAAGGAGACCCACGGCGCCAGCACCCCGTCCCCCCAGGAGAGCGGCTCACCTCTTTGGAGAGTCTGGTGAAGAGGTCCCCTCCCCGCAGGAAGTCCAGGATTAGGTACAGCTTTCCTTCTGTCTGAAAGGCTGCGAGGGAGACAGGGCATGTCAGCTGTGTGTGTGTGTGTGTGGCAGGGGAGGTAGGGGCAGCGCATGGGGGGTGGGGAGAGATGTGCAGAAGTAGCAGGGTTCTCAGGTCACCACTACTTCAAACCCTTTAGTTTTCTGCAAGTCAACGCTGAAGCATTTAGGGGCTTCAGCAAGACAGAGCCCCAGCTGGACGCCTCTGATGGGGACCGCGGACTGCAGCCGGGGTTACTCGTCCCGTCTTAGGGCCTGACGGGCGACTTGGAGATGGCGTCTTTACATCAACCCAGAGACACCCTGAGGAACCGCTGTGGTAACACGCTCAGTGGTGTGAGGCAGAGAGAGTGTGGGGCTGGCCGTGCCTCAGCTCTGGAAGGTTGACACAGACCTGGACCGCACCCGGCCTCCGAGGGCCCAGCCTGGTGCTGGCTCACAGCACTTGCACACGCACACCAGGTGCACGGAGGGGACCCCGACGCCCGGCGGGCTGTGGGTGCCAGGGCAGAACCGCCCCAGGGCTTTCAGCGGCGGAGGTCTCAGAAGCAACTCGGCAGGCCGCCCTTCCGCGTGACCCTGTGGCACTCAAACCTCCAACCTTCTGGTTAGTGGCGGAGCGTGTCAACCATTTCCATCCCCTAGAGACTCCCCACGATAAACGAGAACATTTACTTTCTGAAAGGTTTGGCCACATTCATTTCCAGATGAGTCTGAACTGTGTTCTTAGTCATCTGAGAAATTAACCCGTGAAAATCTGGACGTCTCCTCCCTGTGCTTTGGGGTGTTTACCCCTCCGTGTCCTTGTTCTGTGCGTCTCAGCCCTACACTTCCCTGAGCCCTGCCACCTCCTGCCTTTGAAGCCACACGAGGCAACAGCTCGGACCTGACTCTGCACCTGACTCCTACCCATTATCCATGTAAAGTGGCACATTCCATGGCAGCGTGGGAGCATAACCCTGGAGCCATCCACTCACGGAGTTTTTTTAAGATTTACTTTATTGCTTTTCTGAGGAGACAAAAAACAGAAAGCAAACGAGGAGATGTGTGGCCTCAGACGGGAGACCGGAGTCACCACCTCTGATGTGTGCCTCAGTTTCCTCTCCTGAAACTTGGAAATGGGAGCTTAGGAGGGTCCGTGGGTGACTTCTAAAATGTGTGAAACGTGGTGTCCAAGTAAACACAGAGGTGTTACCACTTCTGTTTTAAAGAAGTTACTGGACCACAAGAAGAGACCACGAAAGCGTCCCAGGATTCACCCCCACCTGATGATTACGGAGCACCCCCTCATCAATCACAGCGACAGCCCGCCCACCGGCACCCTGCTCACGTGGGAGGGTGGGCATCGCGGCAGAAGGACTGGGATGAGGCAGATTCCCCGCCAGGCAGGACGGGCCTCTGCCCGGCAGGCACCGTGCCCCTTCCGACCTGGGGCTCTCTGGCGCTCCGGGGGCTTTGGGGCAGGTCTCAGAGCGCCCCCTGCACTCACCATAATGAAGCTTCACGATGAATGGGTGGTTCACCTCGGCCAGGATGTCCCTCTCCATCTTGGACCGGACCCGGTCCCGCACTGCGGAGAGAGGAGACACAGGCTGGGGTAGGGGCTGCACTCTGCTGGATGGTGAGTGTAGGGCGTTAGACCACCTCCTCCAACTTGTTATCACAGACATTTTCAAACATACAAAGGCTGACAGGTGCTAGAGCGGAGCCCGGGGGAGCTGGAACCGGATGGGCCGGCCTCGTGTTTCCAGGTCTGACAGGTGCTGTCCGACCACTTCTCTGTTGCTCGTTTAGTGGAAGACACTTGAGGTTTTCCTTCTCTGACAGGTTTCTGCCATACACAGGTTCCACCTTTCCCAGGTTTTACTGTAAATGATCAATGCTACACCCTTCACCGAGATGCAACAATTGCTAACATTTTGACAATTCATTTCCTCTCTCTCCCCTACACACACACAGACACACACACGGGCACATACACACATACACATGCACACACTACACACATGCACAAACACACACTCATACACATGCACACACACATTTCTAGCCAAAAGTTTGAAAATAAATTGCACACTGCCCTGACCACTTCAAGGCCCTCTCACCGGACGACAGCACCACCATCATGTCAAGAACACACGGTTTCCCTAACGTCAGCTAACACTGGATCCCTGCCACATTTTGCCGGTCGTTCTCCCACGTTGTTTAGCTGTGATTTTTCCCAAGCTAAGCAATTACTTGGTGGTTCCATTTCTCAACCCTTGTTGAGTCGGGAGCAGCCCACTGCCTTCTTGTCCCACAGGGCTGTTGACTTTCCGTGCGTCCAGGCCAGCCTTCTTGCACGTTGACGTGGGTCCGGGGCTACTCCCACCCCCGTGTTTCTTGTAAAGGGTGGTCAGGTCTGGAGGCGTCAGGAAGATTCAGGCTCAACTTTTTTTG